ATTTGCTACCAAAACAAGGACAAATTGGTCATTTGTGGTGTCTCATTTTTTTTAAAACTCATAGAGACAAACTAGTCATTTCACTAGCTTATAATAACTTGATGGCATAATCGTAATTCACCACAATGATGTGGGTATTTACATAATTGAATAAGTTGACTAAAATTAATAAAAAACTAAGATATAAACTTCCAGGAAATGAATAATAACTAATGGGCCTGAGCCCTAAAGTCCATACGAACTTCTGTGAACAACTAAGCGCCACCACCCCCAAACAACCCCCAACCCATGTCTACAAAATTCTTTTTTGTGATTTTAATCCCTCTCTGCAAAATTAGTAACCCCATGTCTCATTTGTTATCTACCAACTCATCACTGCTGCAAACCACAAGCGCCACCACCCCCAAGCAACCCCAACCCAGCCCACCAACCCCTAACCATCACCACACCCACCCCCCTGGGAAACTGAACCTTTTTCTTTTTGGTTCATTCTTTGTTTTTTAAATTATTATTCTCATTTTTATAGACTAAAAGTTAAGAGTAATACTATCTGCACTAATAAATTTGTATTAATCTTGAAAATTTGAATTTTTTTTGGGGGGAATTTTAAATTTTTAATATTACATTAGTACAAAATGGTTAGTGCACGTAGTATTATTAAAAGTTAATTAGCTATTATCACTCTCTTTCTCTGTCTACAAAATTCAAAACTCTCTAACGGATGCATTTCCCTCTCTTCTCCTCTTCCTGTCTCCAACGCCCTAAATCTCAGCAATCTTTGCCCAAATTAACAAACCCTACTCTCTCTTCTCTCTCTTTAGTTTACTCATCAGAATGAAGCACTTCATGCAGCCAAGAAACACAATCTTGAGGGAAATGAGTCACCATCTCCAAACCCTAATTCAAAATTAAAGTAATTGCGGAAGCAAAAATCATCCAAAGAAAACGCTCCGCCGTCAGATCTGAACTCACTTCTTCCACCTTCTCCGGCATCTTCCAAGATTAAGAGTCTGCTACCCACACGCCCGCCCAATCCACTCAAGCGCAAACTCGCGATTGATACCGACATAATGGTTGGGGTCCCCGACTCGGGTGTTCAAGTAATTGTTTCGATTTTCTTCTTTTCAGTGGTTATTTGATATTATCTTTTTTAAATTTTGAGAGCATTTGGGGAAAAAGCGACTCAAGCTTGAGAAAATGTAAATTTTAAAGTTTTGTTTAGCTTTTGTTTTGTTGCTGAGAGGAAAAGCGAGAAATTTTTGAGTTTCTTTTTGTTCTGTATAAGAAGAGAGAGAGAAATTGGAAATTTGCGTACATGGTTAAAATTAAAAGGATAATCAGGTTATATATTGCTGATATTCTTGAATGTTGTTAAGTAGCTTGACTGCCCAACTATATACGAAGTAGATTCTAATGTCTCTAGTTTGGATAGTGTCCGAATGCGACCTGTAAATAAGAAAGAGGAAGAAGGGGAGATGATAGTACAGAAAGTTGGCAATGATGCTTCAGAAATCAATGGACAAACATTCACATTTGATTGAGTTGCTGACATTGATTCGACACAGGTATTATCTCTTTTCTGCTTGACTATTTGCATTATTACCATAAGGTGCTCAAATATAGGTTTGTTTTGCAGTTAGGTGTTTTCCAGCTTGTTGGACTCCCTCTCATTGTAAATTGTTTAGCTGGATTTAACAGTTCAGCGGTTGCCTATGGTAAGGTACCTTTTATCTTGCTTTTGATTCCTGTCATCTCATATTTTATTTTAACATGTAATTGTGCCATTCTTTCTTCATGATCTGAAAAATTGATTACACCAGACAGGGATGGAAAGACTTATATACCAGTGGGGACTAGCTAACGCCTTGTTGGAAAAACTTATCAAGTGATCAACAAGGCTAACTCACCGTATTTTTGAGCGACTCTTTCCCCCATAAGGAGGTGAGGTTCAATTTTTTCAGGATTCAACTTGTCGAGGTATAATCTTTTGCATTTTCTGATATTAACCCCTTGTACTTTCTTTGTAGAAACAAATCAAGCATGCTGAAAAGAAGCTAAATTTAATGGTACTATTAAAGATAAAAATTACACGAACACTTCTAAAGATCTCTCTAACTTGGATCTTTAAAAGTGTGCATGTAAATTAAATGGTATCATTCTAATTTAATGAAGCCCTCACTATTCGATTGAGTCGAAGTATTATCAACTAGACTAATGAAGCCCTCACTATTCGCACTGAGTGGAAGCAATTCAGAGGGCATCATTATGTAACCGTATCCTATGATTACATGATCTGAATCGGATTCAATAACCACATTGGCTCGAAAATGACTACAGAGTGGCCCAAACACCACTTCTCGTTAACAAAAATGTTAGTCAAACTTCGAACGCATTGCTGCTCCCACCTCTTGGGTGTGGAATGATAAACCGCACACATACGAAACCAATTAGTTATCATTGAGGCGACCTGGTGGAAGCTTTATAAAATTTTCACTACTTATAAAGTTACCTAGTCTGAAATTTCTCTTAATTCATTTATTTTCCTTCGTCTAACAAATTTTTCAAAACCTAATTTCTAATGCCAAGTGTTAGGAGTATTTTTGGGCTGGGCAGATGGCTTTTGTAGTTGTTCAGGAGGGAAATTGTGTTATGATGAAGTAAGTAAGATAAAAAGAAAGGAGAGAGAGAGAGAACTGTTTTATCGAGAAAATTATACAAAATATAGTTCATAAATTGTTGGTTGCTTTTTGATAATTGTTGCTCCTCGTTTTCATTTGTGTTGGTGGGATTGAGTACAAATATAATCTTTCAATTTTTCTTTTTCATTGCAAAGATATAGGAAAAAAAGATAAGTAGACATGAAAAATATTTTAATTTTAAAGAAATTTTAAATGAGATTGACAAATAAATATCACACTAATAAATAAAATTTAATTCAATGTTTGAGTCCACTTACTGTAGCATTTTTACATACAGTCATCATCAGAGCCATTTATAGATTTCAATCTCTGGTCTCTGTCCACTCTTACATCTGTTCACAAAATCATTACCATAGCGTACAACAATTTGGCTCCACACTTTTTCACTTGCCGAGGAAAGAATCACCATCACGTGAGAAAAGTTAACAAAGCCTTCGCTATTCGAACTGAGTGTAAGCAATTCAGACAAATTATGTACTTGATCCTATGTTTACATAATCCAATCTGATTTAAAACGTTATATTCATAACTTGTATAGTCAAACCACCATTTGAGTTCGCGTCCCGGGAATGGGCTTCTTGTCAACAAAAAGATCAAATGTAGGTTCGACATAATAGGATTCCAAATCTTGACTCGGGCATGGAGGATACAACGCACAACGAAACCGATTACGTTTATTGAGCAACCCCTTGGAAGCTTTAAAACTTTCACTACTTATAAAGTCAAACCAATCTGGAATTTCGCTTCCCGGTAATATGGTACCACGTAAGCATAAATTTGTCATAGCAGTCACTCCGTTCGCTAACTGTAGGATTCTTTTTCCTATATCAAAAGATCATCAAATTGCAATCTCCCTTTGATATATATTACAATGGAGAAGACATAATATGTGTGTGATTGTACCCGATAAAACAAGTGGTTGTAAACAAAGAATTGACTGTCATTTGTTAGCACACACATCGTTAAAAGTACATATAAAAAAAAACCTGTTATTGGTGTTTAATAATTTTTAGTAAATTTAATAAAAAATCACTTTTAATATTATATTATGTGTGAACTGCTTTAATAATTAAAAATTAATAAATAAATCAATAAAAATCTCTTATTGTGTATTTGATTTGACTACAGTTAATCAATAAATCATCTCTTGAGAAATCGATAGCTTAATTAGAGAACTATTTTTTAAAAAGAAAAAAAAAATTAATATCATATGAAAAGAGAGAAAGTGAGAGAGAGAGAGACTTACCTCACTGTGAAACCATGTAACTGCATCACTCTGAATATTGAGTAAGCCTTTGCATCTAATTTTAGTTTGTAACAATGTTGAAGTGAGCATTCGACCATACAAATTATCTTTGCCACGAGTTGGCACACTGATATCTTCAAGTGAAATGCAGTTGCTTGCATCTAGAATTTGTAACTGGTGTGGAAGCTCCGGTGGATTTAAGTCTCTGGCAATCTTCTAAATAGAACCATATCAATTAGAGAGATCTTTAATAGTCCCTGGAAGACTCTCAATGTTTCCTCCTATCCATATCTTCCGAAAGCGTAATTGGCCAAGATTGCTGGGTAACTCTTTTATACCAGTGTGAGACGAACTAAACCCCCAGGTTGTTCAAGAAAGATGAATCATGCGGTCGGAAACTCAGTGGGTTCTCAATCGTACATCTCTTCAAAGAGAATGTCTCAGGTTGTTCAAACAAGCTATAGACGGCGGTACTTCTCTTAGAGAAATTCCCTCGAGTTTAAGTTCCTTCAGGGCTGTTAATTTCCCAGGCCTTCAGGCAATCTGTCAAGTTTTGACATATTGAAAGAAAAGATATTCAAGAGATTTACACCCGCAAATACTCTCAGGGAGACTCTAAGCTCCGAACAGTACTCAAGATTCAATAATCTTATTCTACATATGCTCTAGTGATGGCAATTCTTCAATTGTACAACCTTTCAGAATCAAGCTCTCAAGATTTGGGAATAGTGAGAGATCTGGCATTCTGCGTAGATGCTCAGAGTAACTGAGGTCAATATGCTTCAAATTACCAAGATTCTGTCCCTGTAACAAAAAATAAAATTAAATGATTAAAGAACATAAATAACATACAGATACTTAAATTAAAAGCACAAATGAAAAATAAAGTTAACATGTACCTGGTCACCAATCCAAAGTTGTTCAAGTTTGCTATAACACATGTACAGTGCAACAAGGTTCTTTGGATTAAATTTGGTGGCAATGAGTTGCAGAATACTATCCCAGCGAAGGTACCTAAGCTCAGAGAATCAGATTTTTGGACCTCAAACCATGCAACTTCTCTTCATGCTCGGAGCTATTATTTTCAAAAACTTCCATAAAAACCATTCAAAACAAGGCTTGAATATGTTAAGCACAGCAAACAAGAATCGGATCCAAGGCTTCCAAACCACACCTTCTTATCATACTCGCAGCCATCAACTTCCAGGAATCTTAGATTTTCCATTTTCTTGAAAAGCTTCAAGCTTTAAATGTAACTCCGATACTTTAGACATATTCAAGCGCATGCTTCGAATTACTTCAGTCCCCTAATAATCAACAGCAGATATATTGATGATAAGTTAGTATGAAATTGCTTAATTACATACATTGTTAAGTAACTAACTCTCATACAATACATTATCTTTTCAAATTTCTTTTTAAAATACGTTAATATAAGACATGTCTCATTCCCACCCAATCACTTTACCAATTGAGTAAGTTCCCAATGATAACTATGATGAATACTCTGCAAGCTAATATTTTATAATATCTCATATATAAAATAGAAAAAAAAAATTAAAGGCATTGGTTCTCACCTTATTTTTGGTCAATACTTTCAAGATATCTTCATGATCCCACAATCGACTACGTCGGCCAGGATCATCAATTGATTCTTGCCGCACAATTTCTCTACCCATTTCTTGAAGTAAATCATGCATTGTGATGGTATTGAATGAAGTAGTTATGAGAGCCCTTTCAATGAGAACATTTATCTCAATATGGGAGTCGAAATTATGGGCATTCAAGATTGCTTCTATAAGATCTCTTTTATATCCTTTAAAAAAACATGCGATGTCTAAAAATGCAAGCTTCTGCTTGTCAGTCAACCCATCATAACTTACTTTTAGCACCTCCTGGATGTCCCTAGGAACATTAATGTTCAAGTTTACTAGTTGACTTTCCCATTCTTTCTTTGTTCTTTTGAATAGAAAAGAACCTAAAACTTTAAGAGCAAGTGGAAGACCATTAGCATATGATAACAACCTTACAGCTAGCTCCCTAAAATCTTCTGGTGGAAACTTTTGTCTAAAGGCATATCGACTAAACAATTGGAGATCTGCACCATAAGATAATATAGGAGTCTCATATATACCATCCACCAGACAATTTTCTAGTACTTGTTTATCCCTTGTCGTTATGATTATTCGACTTCCTGAACCCAAGCACTTAAAATCTTCAATTAAAAGTTCTATTTGTTTAAAATTTGTCACATCATCTAACACAATGAGAACTTTCATACGGCCAAGCCTTTCTTTGGTGAAGCGGGATCCTATATTAGCATTTTTATCCCCTAAAATGTTACAAATAATTTGTTGTTGCAAGCCAGTTAGTCCCTTGTTTTTCTCTGATTCTTCTCTAATATTTTCAAAGAAGTAAGAGCTTTCAAAATGTCTATTTTCAGAGATTTTATTGGATACAGCCCTAGCAAGAGTAGTCTTCCCTATCCCACCGGCACCCCAAATTCCTATCTTGCGAACACCAGCAAACCCAATGCGTAATAGCTCTTCAATATCCTTGATTCTTGAATCCACCCCAACTAGGTCCTTGTCATTTAAAGGAGAGCCATTATTCAATCTCATCAAAACAAATTCAACAACTTCTTTTACAAGTTCAGACTCGGGCCTAACAAATACGGAAAAAAAAAAAAAGGACAAAACTCAAATTAGATAAATCACAAAGAAAAGGTACAAAACATATATTCCAATAAATGGATCTCAATGAAGGTTATAAAAACAGGGGAGGGCAAATATTCCATCCTCGGATATGAGACCAATGGCACCAAAATTTGGACATTAATAGAGTTTGAACCTTTGCGTATTCCTCAACAATATATCAATTACTTTGAAGTATTTATATATATATGCCATATCTCAATGCAAAAAACAACAATAAAAGTTATGCTACTCAATGATCTCTTGAATAATGAATATCAAGCTCAAATTACATCAATTAAATAAAAATATAACTTAATGGAAAAACGAATTAGTAATTTGCTATCAAATGACATCATATTTAAATACCTAGGTTAGTAATCCAATAAAAAATTGAAAAAAAGATAAAAAAAAGAACCTTACAAGATTGCACGAAAATCACTTTCTTTTAACTTCAAATTATTGGTTCTCATTATCTTTTTTCTTTCCAAGTAGATCAAAAAGACTTTAATTTTTCGCCTACGACCATCTCCTCAGTCTAAAACAATAATCTAACTTATATATAATTAACAAAATATTAAATAGTTCAATCAATGATTAATGCTAAATTAATTAAAACGAAAAATCTAATCTATGAATTTAATACTATGATTGTGCACGATTTGTTCACTTTTTTGTAATTATATTTTCAATCAATAATATTGTCGTTGTTTCTTCTAAGAAAATAAGTCAAATTAAAAAACAAAAAATGAGCAGAAAGTAAAAGCATTATGCATTTAAAAGACATAATAATAGCTATTAATAGTTACTTGATGACATCTGAATCAAATCCAGAAAGATTGGCAGCTTCTCTCAGAGCAGTCCTCCATCTCTGTAACATTTCCTGCCTATCCTTTTCAAGCTCATCAAATACCTTCCCAAAAGTCCCAGTCTGATTCCTTACATCTGATGGATATACACCATAGAAAACCGGAATTACAATCTGACCATAACTGTTCTTGCATTCAAGAATCTTCTCAAGTTCTTCAAGGCACCATCTCGAAGAAGCATACCCTTCCGAGAAAATGATCAACGAAATCTTTGATTGCTCAATTGCATTCAAAAGAGATGGAGAGATTTGCTCCCCTCTTTTAAGCTCTTCGTCATCAATGAATGCATTGATCTTTTTTTGACACAACGCAGCATACAGATGGGAAGTAAAAGTATTGCGGGTATCCGCACCTCTGAAACTAAGAAAAACATCATACTTTTCTTGAGGAGAAGCAGAAGAAGAAGCAACAGCCATTAAGTTCCAGTGATGAGAATTACTTGACATTAACAAAAACATAAAGAGCTAAACCAGGACATCTTATAATTCAGTCTTTCCATATCTAAGCATTTAAACTTTATCTCCTTTCCCAGAAGATGCCGTTGCCTTTTTTATATGTCCTTTTTGACTAGTCGCATAATTGCAACCCCAAAAAAAACCAATAAGCCATTCACATCTGGTGTGATTCTGACACAAATTCATTAATTCCCAAACAGGAAATTTCCCAGAAGTTTCCAAATCATCACAATTCCTAATCTACCCTTCTACATTTCTAATTTCTTCATTTTCCCCGGAAGATGCGCCCTTTTTTCTTATTTTTCTTGACTTATTGGGCCGTTACCATTGGGTGTGATTTTGACACTAATTCAACGTAAAAACCTCATGAAATTTCATTCACACCTATTTTTACTAAAGTTCTTTGAAATTGTCTCAATGAATTGCTTTTCCTTGAAGTAAAGCGATGGAAAAGTGTTTTCCTCTTTCTACTTTTTCCCTTTAAAAGTCTTTCTTTAATAAACTAATTGAATTTCTTTGAATTAGCATGTCTATTGCTTTATGTTCCAATAGTATTAAGGAGCAATCAACATTATTCAACTACCCAAAAAACCAAACATGACCTACATTAACATAGCAGTAGCTTCATCCAATATACATAATTAAATTATATTTCGACAAGATCATCCATTGCTGACAATAAAATCTAAGAGAAATTTCAAAATGACAACCATTCGTGTGTATATCATCAACTCCCTAACTGGGTTGAATACAATTATGTAATTTCTATTTATTTAACCATTAATCACTTTTTGCAAATGAACTAAAACAAGGATTTATAAAATCATAAGTACAAGTGGGAAGCTAATAAAAATTACAGCTAATAATACTAATTTTTTTGTGGTTTTAGAAATAACAAAAATTCTATTATTACCTATGAATCGTTAAGTTTTAGATGTCAAAATTGATGATTATCAAGTTAATATCTATTAACTTATAATTAAGTTCTAACAATAAATAGATTTGTGTTATTTTTGAAACCTCGAGAGATTTTGATATTCAATAAAACCCAGGTGGATTCATTAACTCTAAAATTCTTAACATTTTATGAGATCCAAGAGTGATTATACAGGTTAAAAGTTCAAAATCACCACCCTATTTTAATTTGAAAAAAATAAAGAAATTATCAATCAAATATCATTCAAAAAATATTTATGATGATCTTAAATGCAATCTTGCTAAAAAGCCCAATTATTAGAGTTTAAACCATTATTAGCAGTTTATTTTATCAGAATTTTCATAAATTTGATATGAGTATTATTGGCAAAAAGAGTTTGTTATTAATTTAAAATTTTTTGTGTTCAAATAACAACAAAATAATTTAGCTTTTTGATTATATACGATAAATATACATAAGACCAAAAGAAAGAAAACAAAAAAAAAAAACAGCCTGTAAATCATCCCTTTGATGTCGTTAAGCCGTTTCCATGAAGATGCCCTGCCTTCTTTTTTACTCCCATCTCTTTTCTTGGAAAACACCCTGCCTTTTTCCTTTTGACTTAGATAATTCTTAAGTGTTTAATATTTTGATCATATATGAGCTGGGTAGTCTAGATGAGATTAATTTTTAATATATTAGGATCAATTTGTTTTGTTATTTTGGATAAAATTTTAAAAATAATATTAGATAATTAAATAAGGTGAGTATTATGAGGTAAAATTTAAAAATTAATAAAAAAACTCTTAAATTTGCTAATTTAACTAAACACCCCAATATATATAAATTTTATAAATAACAAAAATACCCCCACTCACCTATAGTATCAGATTTTGGCTACCACTATCAGAATCTAGCAAGAAAATGGCATTACAACGCAGACCGGTCGGATCTAACTGATCGTGAGTCAATATGACTTTTTTCGGCCAAATCTATCATGAATCTGGCCGTCAACAGCCACAAAAGGCCAGATTTGGCCGTTAGCGATAGCCAAAGATATGGTCGTCGTTGTGGGTTAACAATGGCTAAGATTTGTTCATCATTGACCGTCAACGACGGCCATTTCTTTGGCTGTTACTAATAGCCAGATCAGTGAATTACCGGACAGTTCCGGTCGTTTCTAAGCCTATGGGTAGGTGGGGGTGTTTTTGTTAATTTTTTAAAAAAATTTCTAGGGGTGTTTAATTAAATTAATAAACTTAAGGGGTCTAAAAATACTTAAAAAATATAATAGTATTTCTCAAATAATGAAACAAACAAGTATTTTGAGAATAAGATAGGGAATAAGGTTTGAAATAATAAAACAAACGGACCTTAGTTGTCATTGTTACACTAATTTAATATTCATATCCTTATCATCTACTTCACTCTAGGGTTGCGATTGGTTTAGGGTCATATGAGATTACTTCGATAATCTTCGTTTAATTTTCAAGATTCCCTTATTTGGTTTTCAAGTAATAAGATATTGCATTAATCTTTTATTACAAATAGTATTTATTGTTGGTAATATATGGGGTAATTAGATTACCTCGTTAGAGGTGTTATTAAAAGATTACAGAAGTAATATGATTTTTATACTTATTTTGCTCATAATTAAATACCATTTCAGAGCCCTCAAATGTCTACCAAATAACCATTACCCAAACCCCCAACATTTGAGAATTTAGCTAAAACACCTCGGCCACAAAAAAGTTTAAAAGTTAATAAAATATCTGCAGCCATTCAAGACCACCGCAGCCGTTGGCAGCAGTCACCATATTAGTGGACAATCGGTAGGATTTGACCGACCGCGCACCGATCTGACTGTTTCCTGCTAGATCAAAGGTCGAAAACAACTAAATCCATGACGATCTGATCTTTTTAGGCCCAAATCTAGGGTTGTTTCATGGCCACATCTTTGGCCGTGAAAACACCCTTATGATGCACGACTGGCCGAATTCCACCAGTCGTACGCCATTCATACGACTATCGATGGCACCAGTGGTGGTGGTTGGTTATCGGCATTGACTTGGGGTGGGTGGGGGTGATTTTGCTATAAATTAAAGTTTTATATGACTACGGTGTTTTAACAAAATTTCAAACGTAGTGGTTTAAAAGAAATGATTAAAAAAATAATATCATATAAATATTTTAAATAAAAGACAATTTATTAATTTATATAATATACCAACTCATTTATCCTCCCAATCAAACATATCAATATAATATACCTACTAATTTATTCTAACTTAATTAAAAATATTTCTCTAATTATTTTCAATAATCTTTGAGGTGTAACATTCCTAATAATACATCATTTTCGGTAATCATAAAGGTAATCTATCGGATAATTGTAGGGGTGGGATTAGGGGTGAGCACGGGTAGCGGGTAGAACCGGAACCGGGGGTAAGAACCGGAACCGGAACCGGAACCTACCCAGAACCTGCACTGTGCGGGTAGGTTCCGGTTCCAATTTTTTGGAACCGATACTGTGCGGTTCCGGTTCCGGTTCCGGTTCTTACCCTTGGAGGAACCGGAACCGGAACCGGAACCGAAACCTGTAAAAAGGGTACCCTGTTTGGAACCTGTAGGGGGTACCCTGTTTGGAACCTGTTTGGAACCTGTTTTGAAACCTGTTTGGAACCTGTTTTGGAACCTGTTTTGGAACCTGTTTGGAACCTGTTTTGGAACCTGTTTGGAACCTGTTTTGGAATCTATATTGGAACCTGTTTTTGGAATCTGTTTAGAACCTATTTTGGAACCTGGACTATAATGAAATATTTGTGAAATGTAAATAATGGGGGAGTTTCTATTATTTTACATATAAAAAAATTTAAAATAGAAAAAGTTAAATTTTTAGAATAACCTAATTAAATAAATATACGAATACAATTATACTTATTACATATAAATTACACCATATTAAAAGCTTTAATATATTATAATACATTAATATTAAAGTTTTGATCAATTAAGTGAATAATTGGAATTATGATCCAATTAAAAGTGTTTTACATTTTTAATGTTATTAAAAGAATTATTTTTGAATAAAATAGTATATTTGATTGAGTAATAATATATAGTTTAGTTATTTATTTCAATTACAAGTTCTAAGTATATCTATAATAAATTAGTAATTAATTAATTATATATGATATTGTAAACATTAATAATTTATTACTAGTTAAATATCATACTTAATCAATTATAACATTACTTATAGTTATGATTACTTAATTAATTATAATTTTATAATATTACTTAATTGATTTTAGTATAATTAATTATAGCATTACATTTTTGATTACTACTTAATTAATTGATTTATTATAAACATTAGTACAAACTTAATTAAATGATTAAAATTTAATTAATTATAATATTACATAAAATTTATAGTATGATTATTTAATAGTTAATTCACTATAACTTACTATATTATTATATAATTAATTATATATTACATAATTAAATAATTACTTAATTAATTATAAGTTTTGATTATATTTTAAACATTAGTAATTACTAATTTGCTACATAAACATTAGTACAATATTTAATTAAATGATAAAAATTTAATTAATTATAACATTACCTTATAAACATTTCATTATAACATTAATTAAACATTACATTATAGTTAAATAATTACTCAATTAAATTATAATATTATTATATTACATTATATATTATGATCACTTACTTAATTATACTTACATAGTTAATAATTATTAATACATAATTAGTTATGAATTTATAACATTACATTATAACATTAGTAATTTACTAATTTACTATATTATTACTTAGCACAATACTTAATTGAATGATAAGAAATTTAATTAATAATAACATTATCTTATACATTTCATTATAAACATTAATTAAGCATTACATTATAGTTATAATTACAATTAAATATAATTATAATATTACATTATATATGATTCTTAATTAATTATAGCATTATACAGTTAAATGATTACATAATTACTTAATTAGTTATGATTTATAACATATATTATAAACATTAGTAATTTTATACTATTACATTACTTAATTAACGATTAAAATTTAATTAATTATACATTACTTTATATATTTAAA